CCTATGGTTTAATTTTCTGTAGAGAGCTAGCCCTCCCAGACCAACAACAAAAGCAGCGCACGTCCCTACCCCTAGCGCAACAAACCATCGATCTCTGGAGGTAGGCATGTATTGGCAGAGCTGAAATTAGCACTTCCCAGAAGCAGCAGCGTACTCTGAATATCACAAAAATAACCAAGTCTGATGAAATGACACTTGTAACAGAAAACATAAGCTTAAGTGGGCTTTAAGCTGATAAGATTACTTCTTAATCTGTTTTGTTCCGACACCCTCTAAACCTCGGTGCATTCTTTTAAACTGAGATTATAGATATTAAGGTAACAGAATTCATATAAAAATAATATATACTCGTCTTTACTAAGCTCAAGATGGAGTCATAGACAAGATTCTTCTGACAGACAACTAATACCATAAAATCACAAAATCTTAAGGGTAATAAACAGCTACAATAACAACTCGATAGGCCATTAGTGCGGTGATTTAGTCAGTGGCGGAGTTGGATGACTAGACAAATTATTGCAAAGCCGGAAACCGGCTCTGTTACCTGATGGGTATTGAATACGCACACTAACCAATCTTAAGAAGCCATAATCGGTCCAAAAAATTTAGAGGAAGCAGATAAGAATCAAACAATATCATACGCTCTTTGATGTCCAGGCCATTCTTTGAACAGTAAATTTTTGCAGCTGTACATGCCATTTCATCTACCGGTTATAGCTTACCCCTAATTCCAGTGTTCGTGAAGGTCTGACTACACGACTCTTTGCGCGTAATACAATAGTCGTTCAATTAACTAATTAGTTCTGGCTGTTTTGTTCGCTAATTTTGCTTTCACTTATTCATTATTAAATTTGAAATCGAAATGTGGGTTATACCTTGTGTTGATTATTATACTAAATAATTAACTGTGAGGCGAAATGCAGCCAGAGGCGCTTGCATCATTTCGAATGGTCATGTGCCTCCCATTTTGATATGAACAGACCAAAATACCACGCTGTGCCAATTTTACAAGTCACCGACTTACTAGCTGTTTCTCAGCTGGCGGCGCCGAAGCAACGATTGGTTAATTCCTTTTTCAACGGATTAGTGGATAAAACAAAGGCAGTCCCTTCCGCGGACAGGAACCCGGCACTTTGAGCTCAAAGCCGACGTCTTTGTTGCTGCACACAACGCCCCAAATGGGCATGCTTCTTTCGAATCAGCTTTTCATTTACCATAAAGAGCATATTTCTCTAGCAATCCTTTCAAACTGTGCACATTAAATAACTCCTGAATGACCAAACACCCCGAGCGAATCAGTGAAATACAGTGGAAGCAAAGGCAAATACCAATAAACAAATACAGCGCAAATAATCAATGGATGGAATGACACAGCGGGCACAGGAGGTTCAGTCGATGTCTTAAAGACATTCTTTGGGGCACAGATGACGGTGGTTTCTGTCAATTTTTAAGGTCTGTTTTCTTGAAGAGACAGAAGTAGCAATGAGTCAAATGGCAGAAGCTGCGAATGCCAAAAAATCAAACAGGGAACATGCCCAGTACAGTTCATTACACTGTATACAATTCTAATCTGTCAAAAAACTAACTTCAGCCTGTTTACTTTACATCTTTGACAGTCACCTCTGTCATACGGATATAACAAGACTTCCTGCTGAGAGCCCAGTTTTCAAAGACCTCCAATTCTAGGAACCAAACCTTTCATCTAAAAGCTTATTGGTAGTTTACAATAGGAAATCTTTCGCTAACAAACTCAATCAAAACCTGAAACGTTCAAAAATAAGATTTACGTGCACCAGAAAATTAACGGTTTAATCTTAACGGTTAACCTCTAATCAATCCCAGGCTACAGTGTTAATCAGATGATAAAGTACCTTCACGACCCTAAACATAACATTTAATATCTTCCAACGCCGCTTCTCCTTTCGGGTCGCGGAGGCAGACGCGTCAGACAGTGCTTCCAACGTTCCCGATCCCGTGCCAGAGTCTGAGCTTCGGAAAAAAACAAATGCAGTCTGGAACAGATTCCTTCCATATGTTTGCAACAGGTTAATCTAGGCCGACCCCTGGGCCTTTTGCCGGTCGGATTTGTAAGGAACAGTTGCTTAGCCTTCCTTTCTGGAGGAATTCGCA